TATTGATTTTTTTTTAAAAAGTCAGGGTAGCCCACGGCCCCCCAGGCCCCATGTACATCCGTCCTTGGTCATGCTATTGGTTTAATGATTCACCGGTTTGACTAATTGTTGAATCTGTTGAACATGTATTTAATTAATTAATATTTTTAAACATATATAATATTTTATATAATAAATTAATAAATATAATTTTATTAATTAAATACTAAGTTAATTTAAAAGAATCAAATACATAAACTAACTAATAATAACTTATATATATTTGTTATATTATTTACATTAAAAATATTTATAAAAATATATTAAAATTAAAAAAAAAAAGAACCGGTTGTTGGCCGGCTTTGACCGGTCAAAACAGGTTCACATGCAACCGATTCATTCCAGCAAACTGGACAGGTCAACTGAACGGTCAAAACTAGTTCTCTAGCAACCGGTTAATTCCACCAAATCGACAGGTCAACTGATCGATTTTCGATCTAACCAATCGGACTGGCCGGTCCAGTCTGGTTATCTAAACCATGCACTTTAGCATACAAATGTAAATATTTATGAAAAAAAAATAAGTCTAATGAATTCAACATAAATGCTATGGAGACCATCGGGAAAACGATCAATTTAATGGGCAACCTTCTAATTAGTTCATAATTTGTATGTACCATGTTCAAAGAAGGCGTCTCCCACATAGAAATTAAATTCTTCACCGACCACAATATTTAATAATATGATGAGTTAATCAGCATAATAATAGTAAGTTCCACAATTCATGGCATTACAACCTTCTGATATTGTGGATTATTTCTACATTTATGTAACACTTCACTGATAATTTACTAAGATATAATATTATTATGTAACATTTATGATTAAGTAAAACTTTCTAAATAATACTTTTTTTGTCATATTTTTGTAGCACAAATCAAGTATATAATGTTTTTTTTTTTCAACAATCAAGTATATAATGTTTGACCACACATTGTATTGCCATTTTTATTTGAACAACCATTTCAGTTTCAGGTCAGACATATCCAACCCACCATCTTCAAAATCCAGATAAGCCTTCTAAAAAAAGCAATAAAGCCATACATACATAGTTGAACTTTGCTGCAAAATCTCACAGATGAACTTAAACAACACATGCACTAACTTCTTCATATCCTGCATCATCCTCCTATCCAAACAATCCTGGGCTGCTCACTATCAGTACGAGGCATGCGGGCCCATAAATTGCGGCGACGGCCCGAACGTGAGCTTCCCGTTCTATATCCCGGGCCGCCAAGAATCCTACTGTGGGTACCCCGGGTTCGAGCTAAACTGCAGCCGAGAGGGCCTCCCTGTCCTTCAATTGCCCGGTAACGATTACATTTTGGACCGAATTTTCTACCGAAATCGCTCGCTCCATGCATATAACAGCGCCGTTTCGATGCCCGAAAGCAGCATCTGTTGCCTGAGAATCGAGAACACGACTCTCCCCCCGGCCCGATTCGATTACGTTGGTGCTAGGGACCTTTATCTGTTTTCGGGCTGCCGTAGGCCCGTGCCGGAGGGTTTGGTGAGGTACAGCGTTGATAGTGGCTGCGGAGGAGGGCACATTTGGGATTTGGCCATTTATGAAGGGGATTCCAATTTGGGGACTGCTTTGGAGGCTTGTGAGAGGAACGTGGTTGCCCCTGTGGGAGTGGGAGGGGAGAATGGCTATGGCGAGGGTACAAATGGAATTTCGAATATTCCGGCAATGTTGAGGAGCGGATTTGTGCTGAACTGGACGGCGAGCGACTGCAACGATTGTGCGGATAGCGGCGGCCATTGTGGGTTCAATGCCACCAATTTCCATTTTAGGTGCTTTTGTCCTGATAGGCCTCATTCCAGGAGTTGCAAGCCTGGTAAGTTTTCAGTTCCACACCTTTTTTCTTCATAAATGCTGCTTAATGATAAATCATGTTACAGTTGATTTTGTGAATAAAAAGAAAAGTCTACCCAGTAGTTGTGGTTAGGACTGGGTCAATAGAGTGATTCTGTGTGATTGATTTAAAATATATGGTTGATGGTGCTGTTTTTGGTCTGTATATGAATATTAGTTAAGTTCAAATTGATATGAATATGTTCTTTATGCTGAGTAGGGTACCAGCAGCTATCATGGTGTGAAACTTGGTGCTCTCAAGTCAATTATAAACACTGCATTTCGGGTCTACCCAGATACCGAAAGAACAGAACTGGGTTATCATTTTGGATTATTTACAGTTCTTGATATTTTGTTCTCATTTACAAGTAGTAGATTAACACAATAGTCGAAGAGATTTATAATTTAAAAATACTGTAGACATAATTTCGTGTGATTCCCACTGCATAGTTTGTTGTCCTGTTTGAACTTCTGCCTGATAGGTTGCCGACCTCTGTAAAATTATATTCCTCTCTACAGTACATAAGGAATTTCCAAATCTCAGAAACTGAAACTATTGCTTACAAAACGCATCAAACAACAACAACAACAACAATAAAGCCTTTTAGTCCCAAACAAATTGGGGTAGGCTAGAGATGAAACCCAATAGAAACAGTGGTAAAAAAAGAAGAGATTGGAGCAAAAGAGAAAGGAGCAAAAGTCACGGTTCCGGCACGTTGATCGCTAGCCTCCAAGCGCTCCTATCCACCGCTAAATCCTTGGAGATATTTCAATTTTTAAGGTCTCTCTGAACCGATTCTTCCTAAGTGAGTTTAGGCCGACCTTTACCTCTCTTAACAACATCAGACCGCTGTAGAACTCCCCTACGCACCGGTGCATCAGGAGGCCTCCGTTGGATATGTCCGAACCACCTCAGCCGATGTTGGAGCCACCCCGACCCTATCTCGAATATCCTCATTTCGAATTCTATCACTTCTTGTGTGCCCGCAAAACCAACGCAACATCTGCATCTCTGCTACACTTAGTTGTTGGACATGTTGTCTTTTTGTAGGCCAACATTCAGCACCGTATAGTATGGTCGGGCGAATCGCCATCCTATAAAACTTACCTTTTAGCCTTTGTGGCACCCTCTTATCACAGAGAACGCCCGAAGTTTGACGCTATTTCAACCAACCGGCTGCAATTCTATGCCTAACATCTTCATCAATGCCGTCATCCTTTTGTAGCATCGATCCTAAATACCGGAAAGTCTCCTTATTGGCCACCACTTGCCCGTCAAGGCTAACGTCACCATCATCATGAGTAGCCATGCTGAAAGTGCACGTCATGTACTCGGTCTTCGTCCTACTAAGTCTGAAGCCTTTCGACTCTAACGTGTCCTTCCACAGCTCTAACTTCCTATTTATCCCTGCCCTATTCTCGTCAACTAGCACCACATCATCAGCAAAGAGCATACACCAAGGGATATCACCTTGTATGTCCCTTGTTGCCTCATCCATCACCAAGACAAATAAATAAAGGCTCAATGCTGACCCCTGGTGTAGTCCTATTTTAATTGGGAAGTCGCTGGTATCGCCCCCACATATTCGGACACACGTCATCACATCCTTGTACATATCCTTGATGAGGGTAATGTACTTAAATGAGACTTTGTGCTTTTCTAAGGCCCACCACATGACATTCCTCGGTACTCTGTCATAAGCCTTCTCAAGGTCGATAAAGACCATGCGCAAGTCTTTCTTTTGGTCCATATATCTCTCCATCAACTGTCGTATTCGGAAAATCGCCTCCATGGTCGACCTTCCAGGCATAAACCCAAATTGGTTTTGAGTCACACTCGTCACTCGTCGTAGGCGATGCTCGATAACCCTCTCCCAGAGCTTCATCGTATGGCTCATCAACTTAATCCCACGGTAGTTACTACAGCTTTGAACACCACCCTTGTTCTTGAAGATCGATACTCAAGTACTTCTCCTCCATTCATCAGGCATCTTGTTTGACCGAAAGATGAGGTTAAAAAGCTTAGTTAGTCATACTAACGCTCTGGCGCCCAAACATCGCCACACCTCAATGGGGATACCATCAGAGCCCATTGCTTTGCCTCCCTTCATCATCTTCATAGCCTCTCCGATATCTGCCTCTCGGATTCTCCTCACCAAGCATCTATTGGTATCCTCAAATGAGTCAACCAACTCCAGGGTAGGACCCTCACTCTCCCCATTAAACAATTTGTCGAAGTACTCTCGTCATTTGTCCTTGATCTCCCCATCCTTCACCAGTGGCCGATCCGACCCATCCTTGATGCATTTGATTTGGTTGATGTCCCTTGTCTTCCTCTGCCGAATCCGAGCTATCCTATAAATGTCCTTCTCCCCCTCCTTTGTGCCTAGGCACTGATAAAGGTCATCATAGGCCTGACCCTTCGCTACACTCACGGCACGCTTTGCAGCACTCCTCGGTATTTTATAGCTCTCAATGTTGGTTGCACTCTTGTCAAGGTGAAGACGCTTGTAATACTCTTTCTTCTCTTGAATAGCCCTTTGCACCTCGTCATTCCACCACCAAGTGTCTTTCGCATCATGCTTGCCTCCCCTACTCACACCAAGTACTTCTGCAGCCACATTCCGTACACATGTTTCCATCTTTAGCCACATGTCATCTGCATCTTCTCCTTCATCTCAAGGCCCCTCGCCTAGCATCCTATCCCTAAACGTCAGCGCCGGTTCCCCTTTGAGCTTCCACCACCTCGTTCTCACGGTCTTGGCACGTTTGTCCCGGTGGACACGTATTCGGAATCGAAAGTCTGCCACCACCAGCTTATGCTGGGGGACAACACACTCCCCAGGTATCACCTTGCAATCTAAGCAAGCGCGTCTATCCTCCCTCCTTGCAAGGATAAAGTCGATCTGATTTGAGTGTCGTCCACTATGGAAGGTCACTAGGTGAAATTCCATTAGTTAAAAAAAAAAAATCTTCTGCAAAAGTTAAATGATCTCGGGATGTAGTTATCATCGAGATAAGTTAGTACGGTTAAATGTTGATCTAACCTTATAATGTTGGCCTTAGACTAATCAGGAAATATAATTTCACTGCAGGCCCTTTCTTGAACACAACTTCAGTGCAGTGGAAATTGTGTACTGGTTTTTATACATTTGTATTTACTTGCTATGATATATTAATTATATAATTGACATTTTTGTTTACTCATTATCTACTCAAGTTGCAAATGTCGTAGACACCTTGATGTATACTCGATTCTTTTCTTTAGGATAATTTGTGAAAAATACAAATGATATACAGCTTGATTGATGTTTTCCAAAACTAATCAAAAGTACTTGGCGCCATTAGAGACTATCAAATGGCACACTTATTATTGTAGCACCTTTTGTTTCCAAAAAAACAAATGTACGGCGGCCTCACCTAATACTAGGTAGGTCGATTCATCGTACTTTACTAACAAATATGTATAGTTATACTATCAAATTTTATAATTTTGTTTATCTTGTTCTTTAAATTTCGATATTTTCTAATATATATCCATATTTGTGAAAAAAGTATATCAACTTAATGGTGATGGTCAGTTCAGCCCTAACAGAAAAATTAATATACTGAAAGTTACCATATTTGTAAAAATGTATACCAGTCTAACTGTTTAGTTAGACCGAAAAGAAATAATAGTTGCTGCTATGATATCTCATGCACCCCTAAGCTCTCATTTGTTCGAGGGGACTGAATTAACAGTAAATCTTGGATTGGAGGTGATCTCATTGTCTCAATTTGAATCTCATATTTTCACTGCATGATATATCAACTATAGTAATTATCAAGGTTTTAAATAGCGGGCTAAAATGTTTATGGCACTGTAGCTATAGCGGAGCTATAGCGGAGATTTAACGGGATTTAGCGGCTAAATTGCACATGAATACAAAAAGCGGCACGCTGTCAAAAAAAAAACTATTTCTCAAATAGCGGCAACTTTAGCGAGCTATTTATTTCCTTGGTAATTATTATTATGTGGCAGTTTCGTTTGTCCTTTTCTCAATATACCAATTATTTTATGAGGTGACATGATTGTTTGGAGGGTCGAATCATCATATCTCGTAACAACAATATATAGCTGTGTATTATTCCACTGTTTATGTTTTTTTTTTCTTAATTCTGATCTTCACTATAATTGATAAGGCAAATGTGAATTTAAATCGCCTATCGTAATTCAGCCGCACAACCCCGAAAACTGGTAGCTATTTATCAGTGTTATATGCAAATTTTGCATGAAATCAAGCTGCATTATTTAACCTTCCTTTTTTTTTCTTTTTTTCTTTTGTCGCCCTGAATAAATGATCAGAAATAACTCCTCAGTCCACCACTCAACAAATCTGACTGATTCCCATCTTCACGTTTGGACCGACGTTTGTGATTTCTGAGAGAGATGATAGGGAAAATTTGATTTATTGGATAAAGTGAGTTAAGTTCGAAAAAGTTGATTTAAGTGAACATTCGGTTTGATTTTGAGTTTGTGAATGAGTATGAGTGAAGATGTAGTGAATAAAACTGATATGATGTATAAGTAGTAAAATAGGGATTGGTAGTAAAAAAATATATAAGTGGGATGGTTGGAAATTGTGTAGTAATGAATGGTTATATTATCTAATTATATTGATAATATTGACAGAGTGAAAGTTTAGTTAGAGGGAGATTAAGATTTGAGTTAAATATTTGTATGCAATTATAGTTCTATCCAAAAAATAAAGTTATCCGAAAGAGTCAAAACTAAAAAACTACTTATTTCTTTTAAATTTCATAAAAAATCTTAAATAAACAGATAAAATGAAATATATTTGATTCATCTCAGCATCTCCAATGCTATAGCTTTGAAAGACAATAATTTTTAACACATGTCAATCAATGATTGTAATGTTAATCAATGTAGGAATAATGTTAAAAGAGTAGAAATTTGAATTAAATTAGTATCTCCAATGCATCAATTTTATGAGTAGTTATTTGTATAGGTAGACCAATTCAAATAAATATTAATACAAGAATAATAAAAAATTAAATCAAATATAAAGTGAATTGAATGTTTAACATGGTGTTAGATATTAGAAAGTGTGCTCAACATTGTCAACATTAAATGCTATCCACATCATCATGAAAGAGCTCATGACAAGATGCATTGGAGAACAATTTAGTAACACACTTTCAAGTGTTGATGATATGGATGAATTTTTTTAACGTCAAAAGCCACATTAGAGATGCTCTTACACTTCAAATCATCAAATTGGATCCTCATAATTTTTCGACAGGTTGAAAGGTTGGGCTCCTATGACCATTGCAAAGCCTCACATGCATCATCATAAGCATATGATGCAAAATAGAAAATTACCTGCTATTCTGCTAGTCAATTTTCTACAAGTCTCTTGCACATAGATATTTGTTCTAAGTCAATTGGCGTGTTTGATACTGCCATGACATTTTGACTGATATGAACTCACTGGGAAATTAAACACAGACCTAACTAATAAAAGGAAAGCAACAAAGGACATCAAACACCTGCAAATTCCATCTTCTCCCTGGTTTCTCATAGCATATTGTTTGCTGAAGAGAAAGAGTTATAGGTCAATAGCACTTGATCAGAATACGATTTTCGTTTTCCTATGTCTCCTTTTTCTCATCAATCGAGCTGATTCAAGCTGTCCAAGTTCCTTCGGGTGTGTCAGTTTGGGATTCCTAGAATACCAGGGGTTGCGGCTTGTTTTCCCTCTTTCAAATACCAGGGGTTGCGGCTTCTTCATGGTCGAAAATCTTACGACTCCAAGTCCAGTTGTTCAGTTTGAGGCATCTGGTGGGCCTTGGTACATTATCTTGCAGAAGGTCTCGACCAATAAACTCTGGATATACGACCCTAAAATTCACGAGCATCGCCATAAATCCATATGTTCTGTTTTGAGAAACTTATCCCTGCCTGTAATTCCTTCTGCTTCCTTCACTTTCACTCCTAATCTAACGATGTTTTTGTGCATAAATAAGTTCCATGACGAAAGAGAACAACAACATTCCAAACACCTGAATGGCAAACTCTTGCCCATTTATTGATTATTTCATCCCTGAAGGTTGTCCAGTCATCCAAGTTCCTGTGAACTCCTCGAGGGATGAGAATAATCTTATGGATCTGTTGAGTGATGAATTTATTAAGTGGAATGAATCATTTCACAATGGAGGTGGTGAATGCCTTACTAAGCATATGAATCATTTCCATTGTTATAGAGGTACAAGTATTTTCCATAAATATTGTTTCCCGTCGTGCCAGAAACATTTTTCATTTCTCTTAATTATCTTTCATTGAGTTTTTGGTTATTACTTGAAATGTGAAAAGCCGACAGAAGCCTGTAATGCTTATTATCTTGTTATGGATTGATGGATGTTTTTGGTGTCAAATGCTAGTGCAATATGACTCGTGATCCTTTTTTTTCTTTCCCTTCTTTTTTTCAATGGTGCAGATGAATATGATAATCGAAGAAAGGTGCTGACAATATCTATTGGTGAGTAAATGTATAACATGTTTGGGGCGTACTGTTTTCCCATAATTCATCTTCACTTGTTGCTATATACGAGTCTGAAACATAGCTAATCTGCTAAATGTTATGATCTCTCAAGCTTCTGGAGGAGGATTCTTACTCGTTATGAGCTTTGCGGTCTATATATTATGCCAACGCAAGAAGAGGGTAAAGGAGAACTACCTCTTCTCGAGGAGTTTATCTTTCGATCCATCCTCTAAAGCAGACATCGAGGGCGGCGGAAGCTTCTACTTTGGGATCCCAATTTTCTCCTACAAAGAACTTGAGGAAGCCACCAATAAATTTGATCCGTCCAAGGAACTCGGTGACGGTGGTTTTGGCACTGTATACTATGGTAAGAACCCAAGTTTGGTTTGAAAATGTAAGTTGACAATCAGAAGCTGATTATGAGTTCGCAAACAGGCAAGCTGCACGACGGGAGAGAAGTGGCCATAAAGCGGCTGTATGAGAACAACTACCGTCGGGTCCAGCAGTTCATGAACGAGATAAAAATCCTGACGACTCTCCGCCACCAAAACCTCGTCTCCCTCTACGGCTGCACCTCCCGCCGCAGCCGAGAGCTCCTCCTCGTCTACGAGTACGTCCCCAACGCCACACTCGCCGACCACCTCCACGGAGACCGGGCCCTCGAGGCCCGCCTCCCTTGGCCCTCGCGCATGCGCATAGCACTAGAAACCGCCGGCGCCCTCTCCTACCTCCACAAATCGGACATCATCCACCGAGACGTCAAGACCAACAACATCCTCCTCGACGACTCCTTCCACGTGAAGGTTGCGGATTTCGGGCTCTCGCGCCTCTTCCCCAATGATGTAACCCACGTCTCGACGGCCCCACAGGGGACTCCCGGGTACGTGGATCCGGAGTACCATCAGTACTACCAGCTCACCGACAAGAGCGATGTGTACAGCTTTGGGGTCGTCTTGATCGAGCTCATATCTTCAATGCCACCTGTCGACATCACCAGGCACAGGCACGACATCAACCTTGCGAATCTGGCGCTGAATAGGATAAAGAGGTGCGCGTTTGACGAGCTCATCGACCCGAAGCTCGGGTACGGGACGGATGCGGAGGTGACGAGGATGACGACGTCGGTGGCTGAGCTGGCGTTCAGGTGCCTCCAGCCGGATAAGGAGATGCGGCCGTGTATGGATGAGGTTGTTGGGTTTTTGAGGGAGGTGGCGAGTGGCATTGATTTGGGGAAGGTGCCCCCTTCGCCGGAAACTGATGAGTCCGTGTTGCTCAAGGCGAAGAAATTGCGGGCCTCGCCGAATGGGGTTATGGATGCTTGGGCGAGCAGCAGCTCCACCACTTCCACTTCTGTTTCTTGATCATTTGTAATTGTGTTTCTATTTTTTATTTTTGCAAATGGGTAGATCCTCCTTTGTTAATTGGTATATTCTATGAAGTATGTAAATTACAGTTGATAGGATGAAAAGCACACCTTGTCTTATGCTCATTCAGTCTCAACACTTTATCTCATTTTTGCTAAACAAATCCTGTGACCTCAATGCCTAGCTGTTATCTTGTCACTGTTGCCAAAATCACTATGACAAGTTCTATCATTAGTCGAGAATACAAGTTTCAGCAGCTTATTGTCTTCTCTAGGTCTCTCGTTTCCCTTTTGAGACTCGACCCTGCCTCCGGATTTATGGTCGGGTTTTGAATCCTTATCATCCGGGGGCGATACGCGTAGTAAGAATCTGTGTATCATCTCGTAACTGGTGAATGTTATTACAGCTGAGGGTGTTGTTCTCAAGAGATTGGTGGCACACCCACGATAAAACCCACGAATGCCTTCCTTTCTTAATACCTTCTTTATGCAATCACACCTGCATATTGTAGTTCAGTGTTTCGTACTTGACCTTGTTCTTGCAACCTTGAACGGACAACCTTGTGCAAAATTGAAAAAGCAAAGACGAGTCGAGCATGGTACATGATGCTAATGAAACAAATAATCGAGTTATCTAGATCAATGAATGATTAAATGTCACGGCTCGTGGGTGCACAAATATAAACTGCTCTCCATAGTTCAGCTCGAATTGAACTATGCGAGATCAACTAATGATTAATGAAGGGATAATATTAAATATTTCCTCAACCATGTACTTTACAATCCAAACCGTAAAAGTTCCAAGTGTATATGATCAAGTTGATAGGAAAACGAGTTATACCTCGTGAGGATATGTCAACACGGAAGCAACTACTTTCGGAAATGACGAGGCAATTGCAACTTCCCAGGAGTTGAGCTGATCACAGCGTTTATTCTCTTCCACATTGGGAAAGAAATAGAAAAACAAAACTGAGTTTGTAGATAACGATAATAATAAATGGGCCCTAACATCTGATAAAAGTACCTTTCTTACAGTTCTGATACACAATCGATAGAACTACAAAGGGAAATTCAGAACAAAAAAGGTAGGGATGAATGATATTCACAAACTTACCTCGTTTAGCTAAGTAGAATTTTATTCTTTCATATGCCGGGAATTGGATGGCCACATGACTGATCCCAGCCAACGAAGGCAGAAGGCCACTGTGAAAAGCAATGGGAGAATAAAGACTGAAAGTTAAGTAGTTTAGAAAATTTTCATTGGAAAGTAATATAAAAATATAATTTTAGCGACTGAACGAATCATCTTATCCAAAGGTATGTTGAAATGAGGGCAGAAATTGTGAAAAGACCATTATTGGTTAACCTTTCATGAATGCTTTTATAACGAACTTTCACTTTATATGCCCACCAAACAAGGACTAACCTGTACCAGCCTCGAAACCCTTCTTCATGTGCTATTCGTCTCAAGGCAGAAAATATATTCTTGTAAGGAACCACACCTTGTCTCATCCCTTGTGTCTGAGTAAATTATATGAAATCAAATACTCGAATTAGCTTCAAGTTAACCTGGTAAAACAGCATACAAGATACTACTACAAATAATGATAATAATAATAATAATAATTAATAACAATAATAATAACAATATAATAATATAGACAGAAAAAATGATTCATTATAATAAATTCAACGTACTTGTAGACGTGTCTTAACCACCCACAATGGATTTGTTGTGATAGATGTTGCAGCACCAGCTCCTGCAGCAGCTATCATGTTTGATGCGATTGAAAGCTGATCCTCCCTACCCTCTGTTTCAGCACATAATTCTATTATCTTTTAATGCCAAATACATTCGAGCAAAATATTGGTTCGAATTGTTTAACTTCCGGTAAAAATCTCTAGAAACCCTAATAATGAGCTTAAGTAGATTACCAAGTTTTAATAAGAGTACATATTTTGGGATATATGAAACCTACCATATGAATGTAACAGTTCTTTTAGGTGCCCATAAACTGTGAAGTATACCTACAAGTGATCAATGTTATGTTATAATGGAGATATTAGACGAGAAGAAAGAGCGTGTGATAAGTTGGCTCCACTAAAAGCCACAAAAAACTACCACCAAATCAAACCCAATACAAACACAAAAGGCCAATCAAATAATAAATTTTCCAAAGGTGAGCAATCACAACGAGAATACTCACCGCCCAATTCGGAAGTAATGCTGCCAATGTGGGTGTGAGGCCACGATAAAGTCCCCTCAGACCTTCATTCCGGACTATACTTTGTAGGCTGACAAGAATAACACTGCCTAATCATCACCAGAAAAAATGCTCAACATAAGATACTCCATCGATAATTCAGAAGAATAAACTTATAATCCAGCTCCAATCCAATATTGGTTTTTCAATAGACTAGTCTAGACCAAAAGTTCATGTATTTGTTACTTGTTTAAATCACTCATTCTAAATGTCCATAGCTCATCTAGTCTGATCAAGGCTGCATGGGTCATGAAAACTAGAGCAAAAGTAAGCAGATCAATCCACCTCACAATCTCACCCTTCGAAATATAATTAAAAAAAACAATCAAGAAAATAAAGAAAATGGAGTCATTTGAAATACACCTCGGGAACTAGAAATGTGGATATCAGGCAAGCCATGGACTTGAAGCCTCATCTTTATCACATCCAATGGACAAACAAATGTAGCTGCAATTGCACCTACAATTCGATTATTAAGANNAAAAAAAAAAAAAAAAAAAAAACAGGCGGTTACTTCGATTTCATCCCAGAAAAAGAGGGACAAAGTATCCGTGAAATTGCAGTAAGAAATGAGTTACTGAAATACCGGCGGAGGCACCGGCGGAGGCATCGAAAATGATCTCTTTCAGGCTCCGTCGGTCGCCGGAGGAGGAGGCGGCGCTCATATTCAACAATTAAATCTCACCGATCCTCAGACCAAATTCAAAAAAAAAAGAAAAGAAAAAACAAGAACAAAAATAT